GCAATAGATATGAACCAAAGTCCAACCACCACCAATTTTATAACCTTGGGATGGCAGTCATAGGGCAGTTCAAACTAAGCACAAGGGAGTATGTAAGTTCCTTCAATCTGTTACAGGTGAGTTTGAGGTTAAGCCCAGGTCACTTAGTGGGTTTTCTACACTGAATCCTTCTAGTGTGGTCTATGAAGGATATTATATGCCTTGAAAAGAAAGAGTCTAAGGTCCCAATCAATAGACTATAGCAGTCAGCCTGGATCACCAAGGGCTAGACAGAAACTAGGTCAAACGTGTCTAACTGGGAACATAGTATTGGGTGTGCTCTTCCCTTGGGTACTACATAAGTATTGTGTTATTTTCCCAATGGGAATTTGTTCCACCCAGTTTACCCACAAACAGAAGGGTAATTGCCTTCTCCAAGACATACATGCCTGCTTTCCCAAACCTGACTTGAGTTTCCTGTAAGGTTCACTTATCACTCTTGTAAGATTGTCTGCTGATTTAGGGTGACCTTAGCACAATGTTGTACGACAGTAACTAAATGGTTTTCTTCCTCTCCCTCCATCTTTTGAAACCAACCCCAGCTGAGGGAAGTTTCCTTTGTCAAAGTGATTTTTAAGATGTACATATAAACACTCAAACTAACTGCCATTGAGCCAATGATGGCTCATAGTGACCCTACAGGACAGGGTAGAATTTCCCTGTGAGTTTCTGAGATTGTAACTGCTTATGGGAGTAGAGCCCTGTCTTTCTGCCAAGAAGCAGCTGGTGATTTGAACTGCTGACTTGTGGATCACAGCCCAACACATAACCGCTATGCCACCACATATAAAGGGGACGACTTCCCAGAGGATGTAATATCTGACCTCGGTCTTGAAGGTTAATTAGGCATTCACTGGGAAGAAAAGGCAATTTAGGTTCTGTGCAAGGGCAGTGAATTATTCAGTGTGACTCTTCCAGCTAATGTTTCTAACTCCCACCAATCAACATTTCTGTGCATGGGTCTGGGCAGGTGGGGAAAGATACTGATAGGATATTCATTGAAATTACCATCCTGCTGTGTATAAAATGAGATCTCAGAGAAGCAGGAGGAGGGATCTTATAGCCAGCAAAAGCCAAGAGTGGTTTGTGTCCTCTGGACCCCGATCCCTGTGCAGTGAACCAGCCTCCTATGTGCAGATGACAGTGATACCATCAGAGGAGCAGTGGCAGAGCCAGGAGCTCTAAGATGGAACATGGACTTCTCCACCCATGGAGCAAGTTGAGTGCTTCTGTGCAGGAGGCTGGCTTGAGGAGTGGGGTGCCTCTGGGCACTTAATCAGGGAAGCTGGACTTGTTGACCCACAGAAGTGGAGCTGAGTGCCTTCAGGCTGAGGTTTACTGGAGCGGGGGAGGTGCCTATGGTACTTAATTCAGGAAGCTAAGCTTGCTGACCCATGGCGATTCCTTGAGCTGGATGCCTCCAGTTGAGTCCTACAGCACAGTGTTGGGACCTTCGGGGCATTTATTAGCAGATCTGAAACTTCATAACACATACTGGTGATCAACTCCCCTGAGTGTTTCTCACTGGTATTACAACTTGTTAACATCCTTTAATCATGAACTTTGTCGGCTTCTGTGTAGCCATTGCAATGGATATTAGAACCCAGAGATCAAGTAAAGAAGTAGAGAGTACTGGTAACTAGAGAAGTAGAGCAGTGAATATATTAAGACAGTGCACTCATGAACCAAAACTGTCATTTTCTCTTGATGTCATTTGAATAATCAAGAAAATGAAAAATTTTAAACACTAAGAAAAACAAAATGTAAAGTCATACTATCTAATTTTAGGGCTCAAAATGTGAGGGTAAGTAAAAAAGTACTGCTACTGGGGCTTATTCTAAATATGTACCAACATGTCTGTGTGATCAGTGGAAGGCTGTAAACAAGTTCTCTCAGTAACATTCTTGTCTTAGTCTCACTAGACTGCTTAAAAACAACAATGACAACAACAGTAAAACAAACAGAAGAGCACCTCCTGAGGGCCTCTGCTGGGCCAGTTAGTCACAGTACAAAGGTCCACTCAGAAGGTTGTAAGTGATAATCTTGGCAGTTTTTTTCAAAGGACACAGGACAATCATGGGGGTTTATTCTATAAGAGTTTTAGGAAAATGAGAACTGCACTGCTAAGAACAAAGCCAGGAGAGTTTCACCAAGGAATTTTGACAACGCTCATGCATTCCTCCAGTGTAGCAAGGGCACTTCATTGGGAAACCTTACCTCATTCACCCTAAAGCCCGGACCCGTGCCCTTTCAGACTCTTTTTAGTCCCCCAAACTCAAAGAACATTTAACAGGTACATGATTTGAATGCCAAAAGAGTACCAAAATTTCTCTTTTACGTAGTACAAATGGAAGGGCAGAGAATTCTGTAGGGGAGGGATAAAGACATAGATATACCATCTTCGGAAGTGTATAGACCAAAATGGAGGCAATGCAGAGAAAAAAAGCTTCGCATTTTGATATTTTTGATTAGTAAATAGTTCTATAATTTTATAGCAATCCTCTGTGACTTACCCTCATAATAGACTGGCTTACAACATGAACAACAACACCCGTGAGTAATGGTCTCCCTTAAACCATGAACTATACTAAATCCAACAGTCACATTTACCCCAAAGCAAAGGCGACAGGGAGGGGAGAGTGAGCTAGATCAAAGCAAACAAACAAACGAACAAAACAGACAAAAAGCAAAATGGAAGTAATGAGGAATGCTGACACGATGTACCAATGTATTCAACAGCACAGAACAATTTGTATACAATTTATTAAAAGGGAACCCAATTTGCTGTGTAAACTTTCACCTCGGGCATAACAAACTGTTAGAAGAAATAACTGTTTATGAGAGGGCTTCAAAGAGTTCATGAAGAATTCAATTGTCTTTTACTTCTATTTTTCCAAGAATTTTTTTGTAGCTCTTTCATATGTTTTCAAATTTAAAAATTTGGCAAATAGTCTAAGTAACACTATTCAAACCCTTAGTTTGAGATACTGTGCTCTATTCCAGGTAGATTATTTTTTTAAAGATCCCCCCACCCCCCAAAAAAAACACCACCTTACATACAGTTACCATAGTCTAAATGTACACAGCACTATCTTGACTACACAATTCAACCTAAGAAGACCTTATTTTTACTAGTCTCAAGATTTGCAAAACAGTTTCCTGTCCTGTCAAAAATCAATCGAGGTTCAACCCAAATCCACCTTGATTTGCAAGCCTTTCAAATCTTTCTTGCACGCCTTTCCCACATGCTTGCAGGGGGTGACTCTGTTTTCCCCTAGACACTGACAGGTCTTTTTGCTACTCCACCTTCCCTACAATTGTATGCATGGGAGTTTTCACTTTCCTATTTTGAAGTACCAAAGACAGCCAGAAGAACAAACACATCTGTCTTGGAAGAAGCACAGGCAACCTGCTCCTTAGAAGCGAGGCGGTTACAACTTTGTCCTGTCTATTCTGGACATGCGATGAGGAAAGCCCCGTCCCGGGAAAAGGACATGCTTGGTAAAGTAGGAGAGCAGTGAAGAAAGAGGAAGACAAGATGACATTGACCATAACCATTCTGAGGAGGACGCAGGACTGAGTGTGCTTCGTTCTGTAGTACACAGGGTCACTGAGTTGGAACTGACTTGATAGCACCTAACAGTACTATTCACCAGGTTTTATGCAGACAGAACTGCCTAATTCATCATTTTTCATTATAAACCAGGTTTGTTATAGACTCTAGTCTAAAAAATATTTCCTGCAGCAAAGTAAAACTATTTTGTGTACCTAGTTCTTAAAAATTATAGTAGGCAGTGTGCTTTTCCTATTTGTAACGGATCTTGACTATACAAAAAGTATTTCAAAAACTTCATGGAAAAATCCCTGTATCTTTCAACTCAGTTTTTCTACAAATTTTTTGAAGCTTCCTTGTATTTGCAGCCTCTGTTCATAGCTATGAACTGTTAGATCGCATTTGCTAAATTTCCTTCGAGTTTTTACAATAGCAAAAATAAGTAACGAAATTGTCTGATATAGTCAATCTGTTCTCTACTTGAATGTTCACGTGGTAGGAAATTGTGAGGGAAGTGTAAAGTAGATAAAGAACAGGGAAGAATAGGAGCATTATTTACGATAGCTGAAAGGTGGAAACAATCCAACGGTCTATCATCAGATGAATAAGTAGGTAGAATGTGGTATATCCACAGAACGGAATGTTGCTGTTTAGTCACAGAAAGAACTGAAGTCCTTACACATGTTATGATGTGAATAAACCTTTACAACATTATGCTGAATGAAATCAGTCAGACACAAAAGAAAAAAAATGCTATCACCTGATATCAACGATTTGGATGAGGGAAACGCAGAGGGAGTGGTTTATTAGTGTTCACCAGGGACAAGTGGAGGAAGGGTATGCCAAAGGCATGCTGAGTTTCTGTGTAGGGTGATGTCAAACTTTCAGAACTAGACAAGTGGTGATGGAAGCACACAAACTGGTGAATGGCATTATTGTGATTAAGAAAGGTTACCAAAGCAAACATTTTATTATATGTGTTTTACCACAATAAACCTCTTTTATTATATAAAAAAGAATTAAGAGAGAAATCAAGCATAGCTTTTGGTTACTTTGATCAAAGATCATATAGCTATGTATCTAAATTTTTTCTACCAGTAATTTTAATATACAAAATTCCTTGGGCAAATGCATTCAGATGACTGGCTCTATGTTTCCCAACTGTGTTCATCAATATTATTTAATATAGCATCCATTCAAGATCCTAAATGGTATTTCATTATCAAATTTAAGAACATAAGCATAAGAAACTTACATTACTTAGTCTAACTAAAATTTATTTTAGAAACAAATAAGGTACAAAAAGGCTGTATTATGACTTACCTCCACCAAAGTCAAAGAATTGAATTTCAGGCCTGTAGACTTATATTCAACTTTAAATATTCCAGAAACAAATATTAAAACATACCTGTCATCCAAAACTATAATAATTTCACCGTGCTTAAAAGTGAGTTCATTGTCCTCAACGGCTTCAAAATCGTATAAAGCTCTCACTTTCCTTGCAACCTTACTATTTAACTGAATTTCCGCAGATGGATATAAGGATTTTGTTTCTGTGTGCTGCTGCTTCTGCTCTTGCAAAGATAATTCAATAGCTAGTTTGAAAAAAATCAAAGGTAAAAAGAGATAATCAGACTTAATTTTGATTTTTTTAAAAATTTAAAAATCATTCCTGAACACAGCTCTTCAAGCTCGTGGTGATGAAGACTAACTCAGTGTTGGGCAGACTATGCAATGCACGAGAGGCCATGCACGAGCCCTCACACGGGGTGTGGGCCTTGGTTTCACGCTGACACAAAACCCACCACCAGATGACGCTTGCAGATCAACTGGCTATCCCAGGAGGAGGAGCGCTAGTTTGGGCCTTTGCTACCAGTATCACTTTAGAGTTGGGGTAATCATGACCCCTTGTTAGTATACATGAACGACAAATCTGGTTGATTGCCTTGAGAGACTGGCTAGACTAGAGCTAAATGTAAGCAGACCCATCTTCCCAGACGTTTTCCATCATATTTAATAAACTGAAACTTGAACTTAAAAAAAAAAAAATTAAAAATCATTATATAAAATATTTGATTAAAATAAATCAAATGAACTATGTATTTGTTCAACTAACTTCTTAGGATAACATTTTAACTTTTCTCTTAGGGAAAGGGACAATGGAGGAAGAGAACCATGACTTTTTGGAAATACACTTTTTGCTCATTGCTTATTACCACAGCCCGTTATACACAACAGCGATTTTATTTATAGGAAACAGACTGTGACATTACGGTATGAGTAGGTTTCCATACAGGATGGGCTACAAGCATATTTCTGTGCCTGGCTCATAACTTTGGCATTTATGAAAAGGTGAAATGTAATCTCTCCAAAGGTAGAAATTAATTGCACATTTTTGTTAAGGGTGAGGAATTAAATCCATTTTATATCACCTCATTTGCTTTCCCTACTTTTCAGTTCCAACTGGTTTTTAGATTTAAGGTAGAACTAAAGCATAGCCTTTTTTACTATAATTTTTATTTCAATACAATGTTCTGGCAAGAGTGCTTTATGCGACACTAACTTACACACTTGGATCACTTACCTTTAGCCATGTCTTCTTCTTCTTTGTTTTTGTTCGCGGATGTGCCATTCTTGGCAGCAGCTGAGACAGTCTACAAAAGTACAGGGAAAATGAACACAACCACCACTTTCAGAGAAAATACAAGCTCTGTAATTACTTGCACATGCTAATTTAAAAAAACGATGTAACAAATGAATTTCATTTAAAAGGTCTTTATGAAAATTTTAAGTAGTTGTTTTCAAATACTAAAATAAGACATCAGAATTTTCAAGAAAACATTATAAACTCGCAAAGGGCATGAACTGGCTTACATTTCACATAAATCCAAATGCCACACAGAACTTGACATATATGAAGTAGTCAAATACTTATACAATAGGTACTCCTGAATGAACTTCAGTATTTCAACTGTCCTAGATCTCTTACTCAGTGAGGGAAGGCTATCTTCCTCTAGAGGATACACCCAAGAAAAACCAGCAAGAAGTCAATAATAATCCCTGAAGAGAGTAGGAAGCAATGAAGAGAAGAGGTGGGAAGACAGGGACAACAGGTTCAGCTCTGTGTATACATTCTAAGTCCAGGTGCTTGGATAGTAGTGAGTCTTCAGCCATAGGAGAGGATAAAGGATGTTTGTAATAGTTGGGTTTTGTGTCACCTTGGCTGAACCAGGATTCCCAGTGGTTTGGCAGTTGAGGCCTAGGAGTCCTCTGTAATGTGGCCTCTCTCCCTGTGACACTACGAGCCTTTGGCACCCACTAAAATTTTCCTCTAGGAAACCCCCAGGGAATCGCTAAGGGTCAGCACTGATTTGATAGCAGTGAGAAAGTTATCCTCTAGAACCCAAATAAATTTTGAGTCCTACAGTTCCACTCATCTTATAAATGAGACAGTCACTCCACACATATCCACTCTTCCAATAAACAAGTCTCAGGTTCTTTTGTTTCCGTGTATTTGCCATGCAGTTTTTCCTGTATGGCTTCTTCACTCCTCTGTCTTTCAAAACACACTGAAGTCTTACCTATTTTTTAAGGTAGTCCTCCTTCAGTATGCCAATCTATAGTTGGCTTTGTGCCTTGGTACTGAGAGAAATGGTATCTATTTTTTGTACCACTCATCCCATGTTTGTCACTTGTACTTAAAAATTTTTTTTATTAAATACTTTCATTGGGGGCTCTTACAGCTCTTATCACAATCCATACAGTCGTCATTTGTGTCAAGCACATTTGTACATATGTTGCCATTTTTAAAAGTTTTTTCCCCCCTTTCACTTGTATATGGATACCCTTTGAATTACTGTAAATTTCTCGAGCATCTGAACTATCTTAGACATCAATATCTTTTGAAAGACTAGAGTAGTAATTTACAAAGATTCTGTATGGTTAGAGAGCCGAATGAAGGTCAAACATGACAGTGGGGCAGAGGAAAGTAAAAGGAAATAGAGGGAAGAACTAGGAGACAAACATGTCAACAAAGTGTCAACAAAGATATTTATAGAGGTATAAACATAGGCATATACATATGTAAATATATTAGTATATAACGATTGGGATATAGGTCTACGTACATATATTTATAAGTATTAAGGTAGCAGACAGACTATTGGGCCTTTACTCAAGTCCTCCCGCAACACAAAAACACTTTGTTCTAATAATCTTGCATTCTGTGATAAAGACAAAATGGGTGCATAAGCTAATGCGAAGAAAGATGATGGTGCGTGGCTATTACAAGATATAGCATCTGGGGTCTTAAAGGCTTGAAGTTAAAGAAGTGGCCATCTAGCAGGGAAGCAATAAAGCCCACATGGAAGAAGCACACCAACTTGTGTGATCACGAGGTGTTGGTAGGATCAGGTATCAGGCATCAGGTATCAGGCACCAGAAGACCCAAAACAACCATTTTGATGTGAATGAGGGGGATCAGAATGGAGACCGAAAGCCCATCTGCAGCCAATTGGACATCCCCTCACAGAAGGGTCTCAAGGAGGGGATGGGCCAGCCAGGGTGCAGTATAGCACCGTGAAACACACAACATTCCTCTATTTCTTTAATGCTTCCTCTCTCCCACTATCATGATCCCAGTTCTGTCTTACAATTCTGATTAGACCAGAGCATGTACATTGGTACAAATAGGAGCTCTCAACACAGAAACCAGGACAGATAAACCCCGAGGACCAATAATGAGAGTAGCAATACCATGAGGACAAGGGGAAGGTGGGGGGGAAGAAAGGAGAGAAATGGGGAACAATCACAATGATTGATGTACAACCTGCTCCCAGGAGGACAAACATAAACATAGGTGAAAGGTGTAAAATATGAAAATAAAAATAATTTTTAAATTATCAAGGGTTCACGAAGGTTGGAGGGGACAGGGAAGAGGAGTTGATACCAAGGGCTCAGTAGAAAGGAAATGTTTTGAAAATGATGATAGGAGCATATGTACAAATGTGCTTGATATAATTGGTGTGTGGATTGTTATAAGAGCTCCCAATAAAATTATTTATTAAAATTAAAATTAAAAAATATTTTGCATGGTTGATGTGCTTTTCAAAATTCCTCTGATATTCAGAAGACATTTGTTCAACAATCAGAATATCTACTACAGGTAAAGCAATAGATTACATAGGTGCATAGAGGCAGGAAATACAATTCAGACAAATCTTGCCTAGCCTTTACATAACATATAAACCTTCAAAGTAGCACAGAATCAACTGAATCAGAATGAATTTACCTGAGCACCTGTTGAAGGAAAAGTAATTCCTTCTTCTTTCATAGATTTAATAGTTGCAGCTATTAGACTAAACTGGGGATCCTTCTGAAATTCTTCTGACCATTCCACCATTAAAGATTTCAGTTTTTCACACACTTTAGGGTGAACCTTTTTAAAAAAGAGAGAAAGAGAGCAAAAGAAAAAGGCCAAAAAAAGAAAAGTCAGTGGTTAAAATAATCATCTATTAGCTACAAAAAAAGAATTATCAAAATTCTCTTTCATTATATGAGCAACAACAAATATCTAGGTTAAATTTCTAGCCATCATAATTGATAGATTCCTATTTGCAATTGAGATATATCCATTTCTGGCAAAAATTAACCTTTTTAAACATCAATTTCTAAGTCTTACTTTGATAACAACTAATATTTTATATTCAGAGGTACTATTTTCTCTTTTCTTAATATTCTCAGTTTTAGAGTAAGCTTTTCAAATCCTGGGATTTTTGCCACTAATGATAAGAAAATGATACTTTAAAATTTATGTCAAAGAAAATTTTAAAATAACATAATAATGAAGCCTCTCTACCAAGCTCTAAAACAAAGGCACTCTTTGCTCCCGACAGCAGTCAGTCCAATGGCTGGAGTCACAGGCACCTGAAGCTAAATCTTGGCTTGGGCATGGCTGTGGACACCCAAACACAAGATCAAACGGGGAACCTGACTCTCATAGTTGTTAGCAGCTTTCAACCAACCAGGACAGTCAGCCTTCCATATCCATGAGTTCTGCACCTTGGAACTTTTAAAAATCAATTAAGCAATTAAAGTAATCCCTCAAAGACTAAGAGAAAGTACAAAGGGCTATTCACATATCATTTACATTGTATTATAGAAATTGTAATCTAAAGAAGACTTAAAATATACAGGAGGATATGTGTAGGCTATAGTCTAATACAATACTATTTTATCTTAGGGATCTGAGCATCCACAGGTTCAAGTAGCCATATGGGCTCCTGGAACCCATCCCTAGCAGAAGCGCAAGAGAAGGCTGTACATGTTTAAGATGTTGAAAAGCTGTGTCTGCTGACGAGTCCTCAATGAAGATCAGCCTTTAACAATAGCGTGTTTTGGGAAGGAACACAGGTATTTCTGGTGTTACAAATGAAGACATCAAGTTTCAGAACACGAATTTTATATCATTTTGAACTTTTCAAAAGAGGATTTCAATTATAACTTTATTACTGCTATGCACAATTTAAAAAGCTATATATAAAATGATATATATGAATTTTAACATGCAAACATTTTTAAAAATGTTACCTTGTTTTTTATCACAGCACGCACTTCTGTTGCAAAATCCCGTGAACATACTTCTAAATGAAATATCTTTCCACAGTTTGCCACACAAGCCCCAAGAAGCTATTGATTAAAATAAAAATTAATAAAGGAATATGTAAATATCATATGTAACTTGCTCAAATCAACAACCATTTAAACATTGGACTCACTATTAATGTGGCTTTACTTACAGTGAGTGCCTGCAGAGCAACATGGGGAACTTTATGATTCACCCTTTTCATGATGGCTTTCAGGCAGTCTTTTGCTCTAGGGAGAAAAAAGGAAGACCATTGTGCATGTATTCAGAATTTCAGGACAAATATCGAAAGTATATGGAATTTCTCTATTAAATAACTTAAAACTTAAATACAAATTGAGGAAAACATTACTTTGTCAATAAATAAAGTTATAAAATGATTTTACACTATCTCACATATGTTGTAGAAAAAATGTGAAAGGCTGTGGCAAAGATTGCATGTTCAAAATTGCGACAAAATATTACATAAAAGGTCAATCAATACAAAAAAAAAACCTATGGCTTATAATCTATCTTTTCATTTCTTCCAGAGCAAATTTTCATTTTTTGGGGAAAACAAATTAGCAAGATATATAATCACAAAAATTCAAGTAGGAACAGGAGAATGCATTTTGGCAAGCTGTGTAGGTGAAAACCAATATTTCAATCACTCATCCAAACCTCTAAAGCACAAACAGCTCAGTGAAATGTTATATCATCCCCAAAAGAGTATCTTTATATATAATTATATTTGCCTATTCATTAAAGGCTTTTTTAAAACTACATTACCTATTTTATTATTATATTCATTTTCTTTATTAAAAAAGCTTCAATAAAGGTCTAAGTCACAGAGGAATTCCCTAAATAGCTCGTCTATTCATTGTTAACATGTGCTCCTATTGTGTCAAGCTTTAATTATATATTTTAGTATACCTCAACCCAGGGTATTCAGTTGAACTGATTTCCATTTGTTCTTTCAAGACAAAGCTTATCGCATAAATCAAGCCTCCAGGCTCTTTACCTTTGTCCCCCAAAAGTAAGTAGCAAAATCCCATTTTCTTTTCAAGGATACATCCAAAAAAAGGCACATATGTCATCAAGTTCTTTAGACAGGCACTGGGCTTGACTGGGTATCTTACCCATTAGGTGTGCTTCCAACTTTGTCACATATGTCCATAATAAGACCCCAATCTTCTGTAGTGTTGTACTCATTCGTGGCTTTTTCTAGAAGATACATGGAACAGACAAAAAAATTAGGACAACCTTACATGACCCTAACATACCCATGAAGTCACGTTAATAAGACATCTTTTCTCTTGCCAAACAGAAAACAAACACAGAAAAAAACCCAAGCAATAAAATACTCCTGCTGGGTGCATAAGCAAATGTGGTGAAGAAAGCTGATGGTGCCCAGCTATCAAAAGATATAGTGTCTGGGGTCTTAAAGGCTTGAAGGTAA